AGACTAGAATATTTTTTATTAGAATTATCTTGATTTCCGTAATTGATATGACAAAAGAACAAATTGAAGGGTCTTCATTGATTAATATAGTCATAAAAAACTATTCAATTCTCTCATCAATATAGACGTTGTTCAATTGGTATTTTCCCAACAAAATAAATTGATTTTTTTGTTTATGATTTTTTTTGCCGATTTCGTTATGCAATGAACTGAGGTAGTTATCGAGTGTTTGCAAAAGGAATACTTTTATTGCGATATTTATTTTGTTTTTCTTTCCAAAAAAAGTGAACAAACGTGAGTAAATAATAGGTGAGAAAATGTACAAGCAAAACATTTGATTTCAATAGAGCTTGTTACAATGCATAATTGAACTAAAGAAATAATAAAATAATGTATAAAAGGAAATTACTAAGATTATTAGTTTATAAAATTGATCTGAATATGAGGTATCTTTATTTATGCTTTATATTTATTTATTTAAATCTTATAATTTCAATTAGTTTGTTATCTGTTGACTATAATAAGAAAATATTTTGTTATACTCGAAGTACGTTAATTTCGTTGACTGAAAAGTGTCTCTGCCTTTTTAGAAATCAAATTATGTATAGAGAAAATATTTGATTTTGTAAAAGAAATCTCAATAATAATAAATCAATTAATTAATCAACCATATATTTCTATTCTCATTAGACTTTCAATGAAAAAATTTTGATAAAGATGTGTTAACGTTCTATGCCTGAAAAAGAATTTTCGTACGAACCATATGTTAAGAAGTATAAGTGAATCTTTGAAAAGTAGAAGAAAAATTTGATCTAAATGATATTTAAAGAAAAATGCAAATGTCCCCCTATGAAATGATATCCTTCTCATTACTTTTATGAGAAGTTTCTATCAATAAAAAGGCTTATAATAAAAGACTTATAGACATATTTATACTCGATATATATGATAGAATTCAGATTGATGTTGATGCTTAAAGAATATTTGTGTAAAGTTTTTTGTTTAAAATATCAAGTAACTTCTCCCGATTGTAACGTATTAAACAATGAGTCTTTTGATAAGATTCATAAACAATTTTCTTTATGTTCTAATATTTATTCAAATTTAATTTATGTTTCTTTTTTCAAATGATCTCAGTTCAATTCAAATAGTCATTAGTCCAGAAATCTTACTCATATGAACTGCTGATTGCAAGATTCAATTAGTATGATTAGGTACAACAGATCAGGCATCATTTGATCATGGTTGCATAAGAGGAAAATCATTTTTGAATTTTTATATCAAGACAGACGAACTCTTTGCCAGTATTTTCATATGAAGAAATCCAATATGATTTTTTTTTTGTATTAACCTCTTTGTATATCTGTTGTGTCTGTTATTTATTTGATTAAATTAGTAAATTGAATGAAGGCATTAATAATTGTTTTCTTATTCAAACGATTAATGTGGAAAATCAGCTATTGTAATCAATTTAAATTAAATAGTCTGGTTGCTTTGCCTTTTATTTTGAAGAAAGTTCGTTTCCAGAAAAAAGTGCATTTTGATCAGAGATTTCTCTTTAGGTTCTCTAATAGTGTAGAGCTAAGTTCAAATTTGGGTATGGGTGTAGATAAAGAGAAGATCCCTACCCACATTCACACACCCACATCCTTCAAAAAATTTCTTCAAAAGAAAATTTTTATCAAGATCAAATAACAGGAAAATTAGAAGCTGTTGGAGATACAGTAGAACCATTTCATTTTACTTTACATCCAAAAGATGAACAAAATTTAACTCGTGAAGATCAAGATAAAGGAAAAGAATTATATTCACTTTTAGTTCAATTTGAAATTATTCAAGAAGATACAATAAGAAAAATATTTCGAAATAATTCACAAGAACGATATAAAATAGAAAAGTTAATTCGAAATGATCTTGACCCTTCGATTGCCGATCCATTAATTAGTTTATTAAATAGTAAATCTTCTTTTGAAAAAAAAAGATTTCGAAAATATTGTTTGTTATAGTGACGAATTATGGCAAATTTTAAATATAAATAGAATAGAAAAAGAATTACCACGGATATATGAAAATGTTTGGAAAGATTTAGAAGATAAAATAGATCTACAACAAGTTAATATTTCTCTATTTGAACAATCAATAGAAAGGTAAATATGCGAAAATTAAATTTAATGATAATGGTCATGAAACAAAAGATCTTAAAACATTTTTAATAGAATTAAAAGATAATATTAGTCAACAAAATCAATATTTTTATCAACACAGATTTACCATTTACTATTAAAGAAGAAGAAGGAAATAATATTCGAATTTATCTAAAAGAAAAAAAATATTTTAAAGTCTGGTGGACTTGCTAAATATAAATATGGAGATATTAAAAGAAATATTGAAAGAATTTTAAATAAAATTTTAAAAAGTATTCAATTTGAAAATGATAAAGAATTAATTTTGTCGAAAATTTTGTCTTTACAAGGAGATATTCGTTCATTTAAAAAAAGGTTTAAAAGCTAATTTAAAAGATTTTATAGATCTTCAAGATCAAGAAAATGTTCCAGGTGAATTAAGATTTTTTTGAAGATTTTAATCTTAGTAAATTTTTGATTATTGAAGAAGATAAATCTTGGTGGGATTGGAATGCTTTTGCCGTTGCAATGATAGGACTTGTTCAAGTCATTGCCGAAGCTGTTTTAGTAGCCTTTGGTTTGACTCAGATAGGCAATGCTTTAATATCAGGTATTTTTAGTTGGAAAGAATGGGCAATACAAAAAGCAATTAGCTTTGGTCTCTCTATGTTGACTGCTGGAATTGGAAAGTTTTTGACGGATAAAATTATGGAACAGATTCAAGAAAATGTTTATACAAAAGATTGTTAGTAAAATAGAAGAAAATTTATTAAAAGAAATAATCGGTTTAATAAATAATAAAGTAGAAACTTCTTTATCTTCAAAGTAAAAATGAAGATGAGTTCGAAAAATCTTTTGAAGAATTGAAAAAACATATTAGAAAAAACATTAGGAAAAGATATTTTATTACCTCAACAATTTGATAATATTCGAACACGAGCTGTATCTTCTTTAAGAAATAGTTATCATCTATTTGCTGATGGTCTAAAGAAATCAAATTCAAAATACGTTAAAATAGCTGCTACTACTCTTAAAGCAATAGATATCATTAATAAGTTGTGGACTGCAGTTCAATCTGTCTTACAGTTCGAACATGTCTTTAGTACTTTAAAAGATATTATTGAAGGAACTACCAAAGAAAATCAGAATATTTATAGAAAAAACATTAATCAGAACCTTCTCGAAACAAGAGCACAACAATTGAATAGAATCATTAGAGAATATATATATCAACTAAATTAACAAAAGAATTAAATAAAGTACAGTGCAGCTCAATAGAATTTACCCCCTTTGTATTCTTCCTTTTTCTCAACCATAGTTTGGTCTTTTCTTTCGAAGTCACCTACCAAAAGAAAGAGCAGAATCTGCTGCATCTTTTGGTATATGAAACTTATAGATGAGATCGAAAGAGAGCAGAGAAAAACACATCGAGGAAAAAAAGTAGATTTTTTTTCACTACAATGTTGTGCATAATCTTTTGCTAGAGGGAGGTAACAGAGTCAGAGTTTTCTAGTTACTCAATCTTATAGAACTTTCTTCGCTGATCATCTTGGCTGAATTTATTTCGAGTTTCGCTTACAAAATGACAATGCTCCGATAACAATATTCATGATTTGGAGGTGCTGTGGATGATGGAACCAAGCAGTTCATTAGTATTGCAACCCAGATGCTATAATTATTTTAGAAAAACTCAAAATAAATTCAGCCGAAATGATCAGCGTGGAAGGGTCTACAAGTGTGAGTAACTAGAAAAGTCCGGCCCCTTCATCCTTAAATAATTGAAAAATTGCAGCAAAAAATACACGAAGTTCGAGATTTTCTAGGATTTATCACCTCTTTTCCATATTTTAAGTGTAACTAAATGGAAGCATAAATTCTATTTTCCACGAGCTTTCATTTGGTATAAAATTCATCAGGTATCCAACTCAAAAACATGGTGCTGCCTCCCCCTAACAAAAGGTTATGCACAACATTGTAGTGAAAAAAAATCTGCTTTTTTTCCTCGATGTGTTTTTCTCTGCTCTCTTTCGATCTCATCTATAAGTTTCATATACCAAAAGATGCAGCAGATTCTGCTCTTTCTTTTGGTAGGTGACTTCGAAAGAAAAGACCAAACTATGGTTGAGAAAAAGGAAGAATACAAAGGGGGCAAATTCTATTGAGCTGCACTGTATTCTAATCAGTACTAAAACATTGCCTATAAAAAAAAAAGTATTATGTCGATGAATTATAATTTAGGTTTAACGTAACTACAAAAATATGGATAGTTTTCATTTTTTTTCAAAAGAATCAGAGTGATATAAATAATTTTGTTTATATCACATTAACTTAAGATAAAGAATTGAAAGATTTTTACAAAATTGAAATTTTTCTTTCCAATAATTACAATGATTTTGTTGAAGAAACATACTCTTTAACATCGTCAAATATTGTTTTCAAGAAAGAATACAGAGATATAAATATATCATTAACAAATTTGACTGAGATTATACTTCTTATTATTACCCATAAAATTTTATTAAAGTGTCTGGATAAACAATTAGATAAGACTTCATCTATCAACAACACTAAATGTACCTATCACAATAGAGATCCAATAAGTTTTGTAATAGTATAAATTTTTCGGTAATTGAAACAAATTTTAAAATCTAAATATTTTTCTTTTTATTATTAAACTTCAGAAATTCGTTATACATTTTGCAATATTATTTTTTTATTTAGTAAGAAATCAGTTTATCTTTTGTTTTTTTTTTTTTTT